ATTGGGAGCTGAGGCAGGAAGATCAAAAGTTCAAGGGTAACTAAGGTAGACTCTGTCTCAAAAGTAAAAACTACTTTAAAAACTTGGGGCTGCTCAGTGGTAGAACATTTGCTTCAAATGTGCAAGGTCCTGTGCTCTATTCACCTCCAAAAAAGAAAAAAAAATTAACTCAAAAGAAGCTCATTACTCTGATAGCTTCTCCCATGAAAAGCCTGGAGAGATGTCTCTGCATTTAATAGCGCTTACTGCTTCTGTTTTACCAGAGGACCATCGTTCAGGTCCCAGTATCCACATTAGGCTCCAGGAATCCTGAAGCTCACCTCTGGCCTCTGTGGGCATCTGCACATATGCATAAATAACATTTTTATAAGTGAGAGTCCTTGCTGTTAGGTGTGGTATACAATCATAAAAGTAGAATTTAAATGTTTTTGTAGGTAATACTAAAACATGGCTTGTAGAAGAGAAAAAATAGGGAGACACAGTCCATCTAGATGATTAACATCCCTTTGCATGCAAAATCTAGGATGGGATCATAAAATTTAACTAGAACCCATCTCATGTCTTTCTCTGATTCTGGCCAGCTAATAGAGCTACTTTTAGGAGAGCCCAGCTGGCTCACAGGCTAGAGTTCTCTCCCCTTGCTTTCATTCCAAGGCTGGACTTTGTTCAGCAGTCCCTGCCTGCATTGTTTAAGATACACAAGACATGTAATGCTGTAAGGTGGTCATCTCTGGGCCTAACCTTCTTCTAAGCAGTGAGATGGGTAGTCGGGTGCTCCAGAGCCACTTCAAACAGGGAAAGGAGCAGAGAACACTCAGGTCCACTAATCCCAGTGTCAGGCAGTATCAGCTCTGCCACTAGCCACCAAAGCCAAAAGACAAGCTACCAAGGGTGGCAGAGAGAATACCTCTGACAGAAACCCTTTAATCACAGAAGTTCCACCCTCTTTCTGGAAATGAGAGCTTGGTGCGCTGTCTGAGGAAGTGGCTCCTTTAGCTGAATTTAGGGGAATAGCTGCAGCTAGAACTTAAAGGCCTACTCTTCACCACTGCTAGTGCTGCTGCTCCAAGGGCCACTGTTAGCCCTGTCACTGCCAGCTTCACCAAGTGGTTGGTCCTTGGTTTGGTCAGGAAATCTTTTTTTTTTTGAACCTCAGGCCTCAGAAGTCTCAGAAACTACTGCTGCGGCACCATGTCTGGCCTCTGCTAGAATGATTCCAGCTCAAAGTCTTTGAAAGTAGAGGCTGCTGTCCTCTCTGCACTTCCTGCTCCTGGTACAGCATGATCACAGCTGCAAAGTAAATGGGCATGAGCGAGTAGCAGGCCAGGAAGAAGTTGTATAACCTCACTATTTGCCTGAGGTCCAAAAAGACATGCCCAAACCAGGTGATAAGCCAGCTGAGGGCAAAGATGGTCCCCACTTCAACACTCTGCATGAAGTCATGGAGTTCTGGGTTCAACTGGTCAATGACGGGCATCAGATAGTTTAGGATGTGCTTGTTGTTGTCCATTGTGAGATCCATGAAATCCCAACGATAATAGGTAGACATTTTTGTACCAGGGATGTTGCTAGGATCTTGCCCACCACCAGCAGAAAACTGACCACTTTTAGCCCTGGTAGTAGTGGATCTGAGGGTTACAGTCTAAGATGAAGAGGATGATGTCGATCAGCTCTTCCTGGAGCCCTTCTCTCTGCTCAACTGGCATACTGGGAGGGAAGCTCCAAAGTGACCCCACCTGATGTCCAGCAGCACTTGATGGTAGTCCTTGTTCCTTGACCGAGGTGGTGGCTCATTAGTGTTGACATTGAGGAGCTTAGGCCATACTTAGCACCTGATCTCATCAGTGAGGAGCCCTTCCTCACTGTAGCCATTTATTGGAGGGCAGCCACGTCTGCAGGATCACTGTTCAGAGCCTGGTATATCTCCACTGCTAGGGTCCAGAAGACACTGACCCAAAGCTTGAGTAACATGCAAACAACAACAGGTGTTTATTCTGAATATCAGCATGCTGGGGCCACCACCTTCACAGCATGGCAGCAGTCTGGGGAGAGTTGAAGGTCCCTTTTAAAGCCAAGGAGGGGAAATTCCTACTGTGGCTACATAACCTTGATTGGGATTGGCTAGTGTCCATGGAGGCTGCTAGGTGACTCTGAGCAGGGCCTTCTTATACCAGTAGCTAAACAATCTTATCTCCCTAGGCCAATTGTCTGGGGTGAGGTGGTTTCTGTGGTTGCCCTTTTTCTGTGTTTTTTCCCCTACAACTCTTAAGCCAGTTTTTTTCTAGCAGGAAAATGAATATTTAACCAGGCCCTCTCACCACCACCTTTTTTTCCCCCTTTTTGCATTAAGTCTGCCTTCCCTGCCCTGCCAGGAGCTGTCCCCCTGTGAGGGCAAGAGGGCCATCTCTGGAGGCCCTGGTCCTACTGACTGCTGAGCCTGAGGCACAGTTCCAACTGAGGACAAGACTTATCCCCAGTTCTGTCCCTGGCAGGCTAGTCCCTCAGCAAGCCTCACTCACATTGTTTTAATTAACAATAGTTCTGATGGTCTTTTCACCTTACACAAGATTTCTATCTGGGTAGAACACAAGCTCTCCAGCCAGCTGTGTAACATAAGGCACAGCCCTTAATTTCTCTGTACTATTTCCTCATATCGTGTGTCAAAGGTGGTGGTGACAAATGAATTCATAATTGTAGAGGACGTAGAACAACATCTGTTACAGGGAGGTGCTAAGTGATTTCAATCATTACTTAAATAACATACACACACACTTTATTTTTTCCAGAGAAGGCTATTTAAAGTTGGTATGGAGATCAGACATGTAGCAGACAAGCAGTCACATGGTGGGAAGGGAGTCTTTAGAGAAAGAATGAGAAAACAGAAAAAGTTGGGGTGAGGGAAGCACGCTGTTCAGAAAGTATGCTTAAAGAAGTAGGAAAAAAGGAAAACGCTACTGCTAACATGTAATTTTTTAATAGAGAAAATTGAAATTCAGAAATTAATTGCAGGCTGGTTTGGTGAAGAACATATTTTAAAGGAACAAGAAAGCCTGTGTCGAGGTTCTGACAACAGGCACAGGAAACAAAATAAGTGTGTCCTGTGTGCCATACACTGTGTGAAGGACATACTGAAGTGCCTTAAATAGTCCCTATAATAGTCCCATTGCTCCCATTTGTTAGATAAGAAAACCTCCAGAAATCAGTACTTGCTCAAGATCACAAGTTCCCAAAGTTGGATCCATAACTTCTACTATGGATATTCTTATTTATTTATTTATTTATTTACTGAATTTATTATTCTACATAATTTCTGGACAGTATCTGAGTATATAAGTATTTTCCGCTTAGAAAACATGAATGTGGGCAAACAGGACACCTGGGACTGCCAGAGTTGTTTATAAATGGTGAGTACAATCCAAATTTGGAGGGGCTGGAGGAGTGAAGGAGCACAAAAAGAAACAAAAAGTAATGGAATGAAGATGAGTGAGTAGCAGAGTGAAAAGAATGCAGGAGGATATGTGGCAAGAGTAAAGGAATGGCTGGTTTAGATTTTAAAAGTCAGCCCAAAGCTTGTTGCAAAGCTTGGTCTTCAATGTAGCAGTGTTCAGAAGTGTGCCTTTGGAGTGGACTAGTTTTGGGGGACTCTGACATCATGAAGTGATTCATAGTCATATAAACTCTCTATCTCTTTTTCTCCCTCCCCACCTCTCTCACACACACATAAATAAATAAATGTTAAAAAAAATCCAAGTGCCAGAAACTTAATCCTCAATGCCTTGATGATAGGCCATTTGGAGAGGTGTTTAGGTCATGAGGACTCTACTTTCATGAATAAATTAAGATGACTAGTGTGCTGAAATGTTTTATTTCAACTTGTCACAAGCCAAAGCTGATTGAGAGAAGGAAATCTCAACTAAGAAAATACCTCTGTAAGATTGGGCCTACAGGACATTTTCTTAATTAGTGATTGATGGGAGGAACTAGCCCATTGTGAGTGGTGACATCCTTGGACTGGTAGTCCTGGATGCTACAAGAGACCAGTCTGAGCAAGCCACAATGAGAAAGCCAGTAAGCATCACCCCTTCATAGCCTCTGCATCAGTTCCTGCCCTGTCTGAGTTCCTGCTCTCACTGTTTTATGATGAACTGTTACACGGAACTGTAAGCAAATAAACATTTTCCTCTTCAAGTTGTTTTGGCCATAGCATTTTATCACAGCCATAGTAACCCTAACTAAGACAACTACCAAAAGAGCTTGCAGAAATGAGTTGACTCTTGCCCTTCTATCTTCCACCATGTTAGAATAAAGTAAGAGGACACAATCAGATGTCATCACTAATCTTGGACTTATCAACTTCCAAAACTATGAGGAAATACATTTCTGTTCTAAATGAATTACATAGTTTTGGATATTCTGCTTTAGTACAAAAAGATTAAGACCATAAGTAAATAAAGGCAGTGAGGGGTAGAAGAAAGGAATTATGGTCATATTCTGCATAGCATGAGGAATTAGAGGTAACAGTAAACACAGTGTAGAAGACAGAACTGACCACTCAGCATATGGGGTAATAGAGGCAACAAGAAAAGGAGGTAGCCATATGGTAAAGTATAATTAACAAGCATAGGACAAGGTAGGGAAGTATTAAAGAATGTAGAGGAATGTGGCCCTATTGTGAGGACAAGTATTCAAGTTCTGTACATCTTTTGTGTATATGCAGTCTCTCCCTACATCTTTCTGATATTTCTGAATTTCTCCCTTTTTTAAATCTCCCTTCATTTTTTTGTGTATATGTTAGTGTTCTTCTTTCTCTGTGTCTCTTGGTCTCTAAGAGAATTAGAATTAGGGAAAGTGGCATAGTCCCTAGCCATCTAGTTCCTGTGTTCCAGAATCTACAGTTCAGACTGAGGCTCATAGAGCCTAGAGTTCCAGAATGTCCCTATTTTTGATCATCACAGGATGAGCCTGAGGCAACAAATTATATAGAAGGGATTTTTGGTGTCATGCAGGCCTGGGGCCCTGTAGTAGTGACCTTTGCCACACTGTTCGTTGTCACTGTTGATGCCAAGATTTATGAACGCTGTGAGCTGGCAAGGAAGCTGGAGAAGGCTGGCCTCAATGGCTTCAAAGGCTACACTGTTGGAGACTGTAAGATTCTTGTTGCCCCAAGTCTTATCTATACCCCAATTTACCCACTTCACTCAGACCCAGTCACCTTTTGTAATTTTTCATCCTTTTTGGACAAAGACATGATATTTTCAGTCACCAGCTCATTATGACTAGTATAGTTGAACTTTAAAGTCCATCATCATCATTACTGTCTTCATGATCTTTGTCTCTACCATTAATACCAACTTTACCATCAATATCATCATGATTGTCACCATTCACCACCAACATCAACAATAGAGAGCCAGAATCTATACTACACAACCAATCTAAGACCACCTCCTTCACAGTTAAGATGACAGTCATACCTGCCTTCTCCTCTCTTCTCCTAGCCTTCCTTATTCTTATGCCTGTGCCCACCTCCTAACTACCCTCTCTCTATCCCAGGGCTGTGTGTGGCACACTATGAGAGTGGCTTTGACACCTCTTTTGTGGACCACAATCCAGATGGCAGCAGTGAATATGGCATTTTCCAGCTGAACTCTGCCTGGTGGTGTAACAATGGTGTCACACCCACCCAGAACCTCTGCCACATGAATTGTAATGGTAAGAAATCCCTGGACACACACAGAAGCACTGTCTGCCCCATGTCATATCCCAAATATACATATCATACACAGAAAGCATTGTATTTTTGTTGTTGTTTTGAGATAGGGTTTCTTTCTAAACTAGCCTCAAATTCAGAGATCCTCCTGCCTCTGCTTCCCGAATGCTAGGATTAAAGGTGTGTACAATCACAGCTGTCAGCAATATCTTTTAAATCTTACTCTCTTGTTGAAGAAGAAAAAAATAATGGGAAAGGAAAAAAATCTCTCTGTTGAATGGAGAAAGCTTCCTGAATGTTTAACCAGTCTACACCAAGAGGTTATTTAGCTCAGAAATAGTGCAAATGCCCTCCACCCCACCCCAGCCTCACTTAAAATGAAAACTGCAGTTTTATTGAAATTTAGGGAACAAGAAACATTGTTCATGTGAAATAGAGGAGAAGAATGCCCTGCTTTGGGGTGAAGACTATCTAGGCCCTGATTAAAGGAACATAAATATGCAAGTAAAAAGAAAAAAGCAAACTGCCCTGGGAAAGAAATGAAAAAAATATTCCAGACAAAAATGTGCTATTTTTGAGGAAAAATATAATAGCAGTTGAAATTTCTCCTAAGGTTGGCCAAAAAGATGGCTCAGGTTGTCTACAACAGGACAAAAATGGAGACCATGGTTATCTGAGGCCAGGGCAAGCAGAAGTTGAGGTCATCTAAGTCTTGAGAACATGACAGAGGACATCAACCAACATTGTCAAGACTGAAGGTTGAGGTTGTCCAGAACCTCAGATGGACTTAGACAGGGCAAGTGAATAATGAGTTGTGTTTTTTTTTTTTTTTTCATAAGTAGGTAAAATGAAGATTAAAGTTGTTCAGTTTAATATAACATAGACCATTAGGTAATTTAGAATTATCTAAAATGGAGGTCAAAATTTTAACTAGTCACATTTGTAGTAAAGATTATCTAGGGTGCTGGTGAGATAGCTTAAGTGGTTGAGTGCTTACTGCTCTTCCAGAGGACCCAAGTTCATTTCTCAGCACTCATGTTGGATGGCTTACAAGTCCCTTTAACTCCATGCCAGGGGATCTGATCCCCTCACCTACCCTTATGGGGACCCCCACACTTGTGGCATATATTCACACAACCATATAAATAATAAAAATAAGATTTTCCAGGACTGGCCTCAATGTGGTGGTTAAATAATTATGCAAGTGGTAAATAAATGTCATCCTGGCCTACAGGATAGGGCAGTTCAGAGCATGCATGACTATGTACTCTGATGGGTGAAACTGAATGCAGTTGGTCAGTATGAAGTATGAAGATTACAGTCATTTATTTTTATTTGTAAAATATTTATTTATTTACATTTTATGTGTATGAATGTTTCATGGACATGTATGTATGTGCACTATGTGCATGCCCCATAATTGCAAATGGGTCATAAAAAGGTGTCAGATGCTCTGGGATTGGAGTTACAGATGGTTGTGAGCCACCATGTGGGTTCTAAGAACTGAATCTGGGTCATCTTCAAGAGAATCAAGTGCTCTTAACTGCTGAGCTAAGTCTTCAGTCTTGATTGTGTTCAATTATAACAGTCAGGAGCTGAATTTATCAAGGACATAACCTCATAGGTTTTGAAATCATCAAGACTGACTAATATGGAAAGAAAGTAGGTTCCAAATTAGCCACATGGTAGTTGAGATGAAGCCAGAATAACCAACATTACAGTCAATATCACTCAACCCTAGGCATGATGACAGTTGATGTCATCCAGTGTTGGCCAGTGTGGAGTTGGAGGACGTCCAGAACCGCATAGCAGTGGTTGGGGTTATTCATAACCAGCCAACATGACCAAAGCCAAAGAGGACCATTCAGCATGGGTTATGATTATATAGTACCAGTCAACATGGCAGTTAAAATAGTTCATGACCATCCAGCAAAGAATGAAAGTCATTTACAATTTGCCAACATTGCAGTTATTTAGGCTTTAAGGAATCCAGAAACCGTAGGCCCTTCAAACACTTTACTATGTCACTAGTGTACCATATTACCCCATCCTTTTCTCCCCACCCCCAGACCTGCTCAACCACCATATTCTGGATGACATCATGTGTGCCAAGAAGGTTGTATCCTCACGTAAGAGTATGAAGGCCTGGTAAGTTCAGGGGGATGATCTGGACCTTGGACAGCCACAAATAGTGATGGTACTGCTCCATCAACTTGTCCACTTCATTTGCCCTTCCTCTTTTCATTTCCCAGGGATTCTTGGACTCGGCACTGTGCTGGTCATGATTTATCTGACTGGCTCAAGGGGTGTGATGTGCATCTGAAAACTGTCCCAAGCAATATTGGGTAGTGACTCAGATTTCATAAGGATAGAGATTCAATTTTTTTTCTTTTATGGGTTTAATAAAAGATGGCATCTATAAATAATTCAAGAGCTATTACTTGTCAGATGCTTTGAATTTCTTCATGTTTTCTAGTGTGTGAAAATACTTCCATTCAATCCTTTCCTACACAGTTTTATATATCTAATCTGGAGATACAAGGTCACTGGGGGCTGGGGAGGATGTAAGCAACAGCTTAGAATCCTTTTGGTTTAAATATCAAATCTACTACTTAGTGGTTGTGCTTCCTTTAAAGAGTCATTGCTTTTTTCTCTGACTTTTTCCAAATTTGAATAATGATGATGATAATGAAAGCAATAATTCATAGGGTTCATTTGGAAAATTTAATGAACTGATATTTGGAAAACACAGACAGTGCTTGGCATAAAATTCTGTTAAAGATATGCATGTAGTGGTACATGCATGTGATACCAACACTCAGGTGGCAAAGGCAGTAGAATCACAAGCTTAAGGTCAGCCTGGCTAACACAGTGAGAACCTGGCTCAAAAAAGGTCAAATTTGAAGACAGGTTGGGTGTAAGGATAGAAAGATGTCTTACCTTTAAAAGTATCATTTTCAGATGTGGTCACTATATCGTCTTTATTTAAGACATTTACAGTCTCTTTAGGGGAGAATTAAATTAAATACAGCTTACACAGTGTGATCTAAGAAGTTAAAATATTCACATTCTTCCACATCCTCCCACATACTACCATTCTAAACCCCAACTTTCCATTACCAAAATCCAAATTTGAAAATGACAGACTTGTAATTTAGGCAAAGAATTTGAAGGACACACAAAGTAATAATTTCTTTTTACAGTCTGTGTCTTGAACACAGGGTATTAAGAACTTGCCATTTGCTCTCAGTTCACTGTCCAGTCCATTGGAAGTAACTATTTTCATCAAGTATTGCTCATGTCCTTTGTAGTCCACGATCAGGGGTGGCTACTCAGCTACCCAAAGTCTTGCATTCAGTGTTCATCAAAAATAAATACAGATGATCATTAAAACACCTAGCTGTCACTGCATGGCAAGGAGAATTCAAAACCCCTTCCTTAATAGCAACTGGAATTCCCCCATATTTCACCCCAAAACAAATTTCACATCTCTATGACGGGTCCAAGCTGGCTATTGACAAAAATATGAATGTGATAGGCAAATAGGACCTTCCTATTATTTTTACTCAGAATGCTCTTCCCCTGATACGGCTGGTACTGAATTATAAGCACAGCTGTCAGTCATATCTTCAGAAAAGCATGACTACAACAGAACTTCCCGATCAACTTTTAACAGTTTCCCTTTCTTTGACTTTACTATGACAGATCTTCCACTTTCAGTTGTTTGTTTCCTCTTATCTCTAAGTTCTTTTATCTATGATGAATTTTGACCTCTGAAAAGTTTCTTTCCAATTCAGGGTAGTCATGGGGTTTCCCTATGTGAGTTCTCTGATGCATAGTGAGTTTGGACTTCTCTCTGAAGGCTCTGCTACACTTATCACATTGATAGGGTTTCTCTCCTGTATGGGTTCTTTGATGAATAATGAGATATGATTTTTGGGAGAAAGATTTCTCACATATGTTACACTCATAGGGTTTCTCCCCTGTGTGGACTCTCTGATGAATGATGAGATATGATTTTTGAAAGAATGCTTTATCACATTCATTGCATTCATATGACTTTTCAAAATTTTCTCTTGTATGAGCTCTTTGATGTAACATGAGGTATGACTTCCGGGAGAAGACTTTTCCACATACAGTACATCCATCTGTTTTTTCCCCTGTATGAATTCTCTGATGAGCACTGAGACTCAGCTTAAGGGTAAAGGCTCTTCCACATTCTGAACACACGTAAGGTTTTTCTCCTGTATGGATTCTTTGATGTCTGCGCAGTGTTGATTTTTCTCTGAAAGCTTTGCCACATTCATTGCATTTGAAAGGTTTCTCTCCTGTGTGTGTTCTCTGATGTACACTGAGGTGTGCCTTTTGGTTGAAGGCTCTCCCACATTCTGAACATTCATAGGGTTTCTCTCCTGTGTGAGTTCTCTGATGTATAATGAGTTTTGTCTTTTCTCTGAAGGCTTTGCCACACTCATTGCATATGTATGGTTTCTCTCCTGTATGAGTTCTTTGATGTATATTCAGTGTTGATTTCTCTCTGAAGTACTTGCCACAATCAGTACATTCAAAAGGTTTCTCTCCTGTGTGTGTTCGCTGATGTACATTCAGATGTGCCTTTTGGTTGAAGGTTTTTTCACAGTCTGTACATTTATAGGGTTTCTCTCCTTTGTGAGTTCTCCGATGTATGATAAGATTTGTCTTTTCTTGGAATGCACTGCCACACTCAGTGCATACATATGGTTTTTCACCTGTATGTGTTCTTTGATGTATATGCAGTGTTGATTCCTCTCTGAAGGATTTGCCACATTCATTACAGTCAAAGAGCTTGTCTCCTGTGTGCATTGTTTGATGAAGACTGAGGTGTGCTGTATTGTTGAATGCTTCTCTGCATCCTGCCCATTCAGAAGGCTTTTCTCCTATATGAGTTATCTGATGAACAATGAGGAATGGACTCGGACTGAGGGTTATTCTACACTCAGGACATTTATAGGTTCTGTCTCCAAGTTGAGTCAAGTCATGCTGAACAAAGTTATAAATATAATCTTTACCATACACATTATGGTCATGGGACTTCATTGTATCGTTTACCTCATGTCTGCCAGAAATTAATAATTTCCTACATTTATTGCATTCATAACATTTCTGAGCTGAAAAGCTGAGGCTAGTAGAATTCCCAAATGAGTTATTCATATAGGGTGTGGGTCCTGAAGAAACTAACCATGTGTTCTGAGGAACTGGGCTTACAAATCCATTATATTCGTAACTTCTTTCTTCAGTCAAATTTTTCTCAATAATAGATATAGCCTGTTCCAGGTGTATATTTTCATTTTTCTGATGCCACTCCAGGTGGTCTTCAGCTTGCCCATCTTCTAAAAAGAATAAGAAGAAATTAGACTCTATAAATATAGCTAATTGTAAGCAGGCTTCCTATAGTGCTGACCTTTATTTTCTTCTCAGTACTGCCCATAAAGAGATTCTAAGTATGTGTCTTTCTTACACTAAGAGCTTGAAGGAACAAAACCCAAGACAATTCAATAGACACTGGAACAGGAAAATAACAATAAATATAAGTGACATGACTCTTTAAAATTAGGCTAAAACTAGAGGAACTAAAACTAGATTCAGAGAACCATTAATTCAGAAAGCGATCCTGGAACAACAGTCAATCCATGATTGCGGCAGGGACACCCAGAATGCAAAGATCATTTCAGAAAGGCAGGAGATGATTGAAGTGAATGGAAAAAGTAGAAGTAATAAGCCAGAGTAGGACCCAATTTCTTAACATCTCATTCACAGGTTACCATGAGACAAATATATTAAACTAACAATTTGGAGTGGTGTATATATAACATTTAGCAATATGTTTTTGAAATTTTAAAGATGTAAAACCTTCACCATCTAGAGTCTTGCTCTTAGCATCTTCCAATTCTCCCTTCTCACCTGTGCAACTTGAAGTTGGGATTTCTCTCTTTATGATTCCAAGGACTCCTTGCTCTAAAGATATGATCACTTCTGGTTTGGTAATAGGATACCCTGTAATGGAAAATCATACAAGACTTGAGTACTCTCTCTGTGACATTCAGCCCCCACCCCTCCCCCCATTAGTAAGCTGTATTTTAGTAAGGCTTCATTTCACATAAATTAACATCATCTTTATTTAAGAAGTAATAATAACTTTAATCCCCAGAACCCAAGCTATTGAAATACTTTAGAGAGAAAAATTTACACTATTGGGGACACTACGAATTACTCAACAAGCCATACTCACCCAGAGAGACAAGATGGCTATAATTCTCTAGCATTACATCTCTGTATAGGCTCCTCTGAATAGGGTCCAGTTGTCTCCACTCTTCCTGGGTAAAGTCCACAGACACATCCTCGAATGACACTGATCCCTGTAATCGCATACTTTCATTCAATTAGTTTGGTATAAAATAAAGTGACTACTTCTCTCCAAATGTTAGTAAATCTTATACTTTTAAAAGCTGACATATTATAATTGTACATGTGAAGTATAATATGTTGTGTGTGTGTGTGTGTGTGTGTGTGTGTGTGTGTGTGTGTGTGTTTGTGTGTGTGTGTGTAAGAGAGAGAGAGAGATCAGATCAGGCTAAGTGAAGTGATAATGTTCTTTATGATAAACAAAATATTCTTCAAAAAGAAGGTATTGCTTTATCATTTAAAAATATTTCTTAGGGACTATGGGTATAGCTCAGTGGTAGAATTCTTGACCAGCATGTATAGAACCAGAACTCTATCCTCAGCAGTACAATAGCCTTCTTCAAGATTTACAATATCTAATCAAAGCAAAGGAACTTCATACTATAGAAACTACTAAGAACAAATGAAATAAATATTGATAATCCAAAAGTAAAAAGAAAAATATTCAATAGATATATCACAAATGAAGGTATCCAAATGGTGAATAAATTATACAAAAAGATGCTTAACAGCATTAGTTTTCAGAGAAATGCAAGCCTCATTGAGATACTAATATTTTCCAACAGAACAGCTAAAATTAAGACTAACAACCTAAATGTTGGCATTTGATGTGGAACAACACAAATTTTCATACCTTGCTGGTAAGAGCAAAGTGGTACTGACAATTTTGAAAATGGCTTGGTAGAATTTTTAAAACTGAAAAGCTTGTCATTTATTAAGTTGCAACCTTTCTCTTTGGTATATATCTAATGGAAATGTACACATAGTTTACCAAACCAAAATAAAAATATTTACAGAAATAGTATTTATGATAACAAAAAGGAAATATCTATCTGCAGTGGATTTGAAGAGCAGTTGTGACTTATGTAATAAATGGTATAAAATAACAGAAATAGAACAAACTACTGATACCTAAATTAACAAGATTGTATACTTAAAACATATGGGTAAAAGATATAGCTCAGTGGAAGAGTGCTTACCTAACATTTGTGAGGCCCTGGGTTCCATTCCCAGCATCACAAAAAATCATGACAAACGAAAGAAGTCATATCCAAAAGAATAATAAGTATATTTCTATTTATGTAAAATTCAAGAAGAGAAAAAAAATTATGATGATAGAAATTAGAAAGTAGTTACTTAATTGGAAATGGCATGAAAACTTTTAAGAGGCACATTATTTTCGACTCTTTTTTGATCCAAGTCTGAAGAAGATCATAAAACTAAATACTTTATAAGAGTTTCTATTTGTTATATTTCAGTAAAGCTACCTCATCAGATTTTTGTTTAAGTTATATTTCCACAAAAGGTTTAAAAATAAAAAGACAGGTGGGAGTGGTGGCACATGCCTTTAATCCCAGCGCTTGAGAGGCAGAGGTAGGATCTCTGTGAATTCAAAGCCAGCCTAGTCTAGAAAGTGAGTCCAGGACAGCCAGGGCTCTGTTCCACAGAGAAACCCTGAAACCCTGTATTGAAAAAAATCCTCCTCTCACCCCCGTAAAAAAAGAAAAAAGAAAAAAAAAGAGAAAGATTTATGCCCCAATGGAAAAAGCAAACAATATTTGAAAAATTTTCAAAAAAGAAATATAAAAAGAGCAAAACATAAAGTTGTTCAGCTGTATTAGAAACACAAACTAAACCATAAGATATTTTCAATTATCATATTGCAAATCTTAAAATTGTGACAAGAAGATTCACAATGGTCTTTTCACTCATTATCAGGGAAGCTGTTAGCTTGTACTAAGATTTCAAAATGCATTTTAGCAATATCTATGCAAGTTCACATCACATCTACCTTTTCAAACAGACATTTTACAAATGCTCATTTCTGAAAACAAAGATGACAAGAGGTCACCACTACACTAACAGAAATTATACAGAGCTCCTTCAACATGAAGTTTGTCAGTAAATCAGCTGTATAAATATATTCCTATGTGAGCCAGCTTTGGTAGCATATAAGCTCAGCACTCAGGAAGCTGAGGCAGGAGAATCCTGAGTTCAAGACCAGCCTGGACTACATGTGTGAAACCCTATCTCAAAAATAAAATAAACAAATTAAAGAAAACAAAACAAAATCTATATGAGCAAGATATTTTGCTCAGTAGTAGAATGCTTGCCTTGCACATAGGAGGCCCTGGTTTCCATCCTCCACAATGATTAAAAAAAAAAAACACACACACAAAGAACAAAACCCATTCTGTGTCCTGATATTAAAACATCTGTAAACAAGTATTCATTTAGTAGGGACTATCCAAACTGTGCCATCAATCAGCTGTGTAAATCTATATCATTTGCTTATTTACTTTACCCCTCACCTATAAGATGTGAAAGATCGTGGTGTCAGTTTCATATTGTTATTATGAGGATTAAAGTTGACTATGCATAGAAAGTATTTCTTCAGTATAGTGTTGTACATAATATGAGCTCACTTGGCACCACTCCTATTACCATTAGTACCACCATGCATTTTATCATCACCATCACTACTACAGATTGTGCAGTCATTATCCAAGTGCTTGAGAAAATGAAGTATTTTAGATTTGAGGTTTTTTAAAATATTCACATAAGATATTTTAGGGATAAAATTCAAATGTATGCATGAAATTCATTTGTTCATATATATATATATAAATAAAACAAACGTATATATAATATTTGTGTCATTTATATACTATTTAAGGACATTTTATAAAATACTTTCAGAATGCTTGCATTTTGCCCATGATACATCATCATGTAAGGTAAGTTGTGGAATTTTTGACTTAAGACATCATATCCACAAAGCACTAAGTTGATATTTTTAGCTTTGGGCAAGTTAGATATTCAGGTTAGGGATACTCACTTTGTACTGCTGTAACCAATATTATAGTGTAAAGGGAAGACAGTGAGTTGCAAAATGGCTTTATTTAATGAGTAAATGTTTAACAAAAGGAATACATGTTAACTATTATGTTTAGAAATATATGTACTTATAGGAAAAATAAAACAAGGCAGAGTGAGCAGAGGTTAACCAAATTCAAACGGGTCTGCAATGACTGATGATATGCTATAAAGAGATACTTTCCCTTTTATTTTTATTTTATTTCTTATTATTGTTTTCTTGTAAGAAGAACAAAGGACCTCTTGACCATTCCCACACTCTGCCAAATAAACTACATACAAGTCCTAGATGGCAAATTCCTCGAGAGTTTATTTCCTGCATTGAGGATTGAATCCAAGGCACACTGCATGCTAGACACACTACCACTGTGCTACACCCTCAGTGTGCCTTCTCTCTCTCTTTCTTTCTTCACCATCCTCTGTCTACCTCCCCCTTCCTCTCTCTCTCTGAGAGGTATTGAATTAACCTTTGTTTTTTTGATACACAGTCTTGTTACATAGATTAGGCTGGCCTGGAACTCACTAGGTAACTCAGGCTACCCTCAAATTCTTCATCATCCTGCCCTAGCCTCCTGAAAATTGGGATAATAAGCATGTGTAATTACACTCATTAAATAAGTTGAATTTTTGGTGCAATTCTTATCCTGCTTTTGTTTGAAGAAGAAAAAAAAAGGATGAAACAATAGACTTGTAAAAGAAGAGAAGGGAAAAAATGTCAATGGATGCCATGAATTCTGAGACTAAAAGTAAAAGGACAATCTTATGGGTTTCTCAGGTTTGTTTGTTTGTTTTCTAGATAATAAAAATGGGGGGATGTTTTGGAAAAGAATTTGAAGGACATATGGCTTATAACATTTTTCTGGCCATCAAATTTTTATTCATTTATAGTCTAGAACATGTTTGTGTAAGCTTGGTTTGGCTTTCCTGAACAGTCACATCCCTTTTAGTTTTGTTCTATTAAGATGCCTTTGGTTGAAAAGAAAATAATTTAAGTCACAATAGAACATATTAGCCCTGCATTTATTTTAAGTTTTCTAATAGGGACTTGAAGGACTGTCTGATCAACATTAGGAAATCCATGCATCTATAGGAGTGACTCACTGTCTCTGTAAAGGTGAGATAAATAAAACAAGTGAATATGCTTCATTCCTTTTATGCTGTGGCTTATGGAAAGCTCAGAAAAGTAACTGTATCTTAACATAAAATATAAAATCCTAGGATGTACTTATACATATATATATTTCACCCTTGTGCTGGGCTTATTTATATCCTTAAATTTTGTGTTTATACTCTATCTGCATTATAGAATAAATAATACAATAAATGATATACTCATATATAAAGTTTATTATGTATGCATCAAAACATTGTTCAAGACTGTACATATTAACTCAATTGAACTTCACAATCACCATACAAGGCAAATATTATTATAATCTTAACCATTCCCATTTTACAGTTAAGAAAACTAAGGCACAGAGAGCTTTGGTTAGCTCATAAATCCTTTAAGAGCAATTTAGCTGCAGATTCTATAGTCTTTACAACTGTACAATATTGCTTACATCCTAATATGGGCAGAAGGTAACTGGGAGAACCAAATAAGAACTTACCTGGGACTCAGTCATGATTGACTGTTGTGGAGAGAAGAAAAGGGAAGATCTTCATATGGCAAGGATAAACAGATTGAAAGTTCACCAAATCACCATGCCAGAAATCCACAAAAGCCAGCTGGTAAAATGGCCATGGTATAGCTAAGAAAAAAAAAAAAAAAAAAAAAAAAACGGAAAAGATATTTGCTTTCCCCAACGGATCTCCATCACCCAGCAACACAGCTCTATCATGGATTTCATAAGCCATTGTACCTTTCTCACGGATTTCCCAACGCTGACTTAAAACCCTCAAGCACATACTCCACGGAGCCCCACATCACTTACACTACTACTCTACAGCTCGCCATCACAAACCCCAGATATTCCCAACATTAACTCTACAGCCCGCCTCGACCAAAGCTCCCACACACACTATCACTCCTTCAACGAATCTCCAACACTATGCTTGCAGCCTTTTCCCCATCTTTTGGATACTTGTCTTTGAACCCCTCCCGAAGTATTCACCGCGTAAAATCGCGTCTTTGCGGAGTCCACACTCGCTTGTTTCACTCCGCCTGCAGAGTACCAGCCCTCTCACTTACGCTGAGTGAATTCTAGTCTCCTTCACTCCCTTCTCCGATATTAAAATCTAAATTCTTATGCCGGCAAAGTGTCTTTAATGTTTCCCAAATCAGTCATAACTTCCTGTGATAGCCACCTTTTAGTCCTTTACCCCGCCTTGGTTACTGTCAGTCACTAAACTTGCTCATGCGCAGTAGCCCTTCTGAAGCCGTCGGCGCTAGCAGTCCTAAATATTTTGTTTACCACAAGGATTGAATTTGCAGGCAGGAAAAATGGATACGCCAATAAGCTGAGTTTTTAAGGGAGCGGACATCTTTATAGCCTTTGCCAGTTCCGTACAGCGGAGAAAAAAAAATGCCTCCTAATGTTTAGAAGAGGTGAAATTTAGTGAGGAATTTGAACACTTGGCGAAAAGAATGGGCCTTTTGTACAGAGGCACACCAATGACAGACGACTTTTGGAGCAGCCCCCGCCTCTTCCTCTTCACCACCCACCCTGGCTACGGAGATACCACTGTGGAGATGAGGGAGAGCTGGAACGCCTCCACGCTTCCTAGGAACTATTTGGGTAAAAGGGAATCAGAGCAGAGAACAAAGCTTTCCTTTAAAGACCAACACTACTGTGGAGATGGGGAGAATTCATGGAGTTGGTGGTTCTTTCAGAGAAATGCCACTATAGAGAGGTAGGTACTATTAGGCTAGTTGTGAAGAAGACTCAGATTGGTATGATCCTCTGTGGGAAATACCAAGATGCAGACGTAGACAAGTCCAGGGATAGTAAGAATCTGTGCTCAGAGAAAGGGGCACATGAAGAAAGTAACAGTCGGAGACAGAAACGCAGGCAAGGAGAATGAACTTGTATCTTAGAGACTAGGGGGAGAATCCACATAGTCCTGGCAGCCACCCTCGCCCCTGCATGTCCACATTCCTGGGAACCTACGGCAGAGAGATTTGGGAAAGTGCATAAGCCAGGCTCTGAGTCCTGTCGCACCTGTCTCAGGGTCTTCTAGAGTCTTGGGGGGACCAACAGGAGACTGTACCAGACATATTCCACGCGAAAGGCAACTGAACATGCAAGTGACAACTAAGTGATTTTTTTTTCCTGGCTATTGCAATAGGGAAAACTTTTATTAATGAGGAATATACTAAAGACAAGGAAGAAGAGTTAGGGTTTTTACAGAGACACATCAATAGATAGAGCACTCATACTTGAGACATGAGGATGGATGGACTCAGGTCTTATTTCAGAATATAAGAAAAAGCGCTGTGTATCTTCACAAAATTAATATGTTGAAACCTTAACCCTCAATGCAATATTATTTGGAGATGAGATCTGTGGAAAGTAATTTGAGTTAGATGATAAAACTCTTAAGAGTTTGTTTAAAACACTTAAGAGCTTGTTTATTTTTTACTTGCACAAAAATTAAGTCCTGTGATGATGCAGTATTAAGCAGCTGTTTGCAAGCAAGACAACCCTTACCCCAAACCAAATCAGCTAACGTCAGTCTCGCCCTTCCCAGTCCCCAGAACTGTGAGAAAGCAAGTTTCTTGGTGTTTAAGCTGGTATTTTTGGTATTTTGTTATGGCAGCCAGAAATGGAAAAGACAGGGACCTGTACAGTTAGCCTCTTGCCAGAACACAAAAGTAAAAAGGTAGGGAATTTCATAGTCATCCTTGATTTCCAGGAGCACAAGACCCAAACTGAGTGACACTTTCAACTGCATTTCAGCCTGCTATACTTTCACAATTCTCACTCCTTCCCACTCTGCCAATCATTCTAATTCACCCCCTTTTCAGTTGTACTGCCATTAACTTACTGCTCATTCTGTTTCATGACCAGTATAGCCATATAACACTCTACCTATTTCTCACTGTTCCATCCTTTCTGACCACCTCGTCTATAGTGTTCCCTGAGCCTTGGAGGGAGTGATCTAGATGTCCATTTATAGTGTAGCATTGTCTCACCAAGCAACAACAGTTCCTAAGAGCATTACCAGTGGGTATGTGTCTCTGAGACACACCATCAAGGAAGTATACTTCTATGGATTGGTTGTGGGTGAGAGTAACAGTAATTTAGAGCATAAGCACAAATGTTTAAAAAGATTTTTTTAATTTTTTATTAATTACACTTTATTCATTTAGTATCCCCCCATAAGCCCCTCCCTCCTCCCCTCCCTATCCTCCCCTCCCTCCCCTTTCTGCATGCATGCCACTCCCCAAGTCCACTGATAGGGGAGGTTCTCCTCTCCTTTCTGATCTTAGTCTATCAGTTCTCATCAAAAGTGGCTGCATTGTCCTCTACTGTGGCCTGGTAAGGCTGCTCTCCCCTCAGGGGGAGGTGATCAACGAGCAGGCCAATCAGATTATGTCAGAGGCAGTCCCTCTTCCCATTACTATGTAACCCACTTGGACACTGAACTGCCATGGGCTACATCTGTGCAGGGGTTCTAGGTTGTCTCCATGAATAGTCCTTGGTTGGAGTATGAGTCTCTGGGAAGTTCCCTGTGTTCAAATTATCTTGTTCTGTTGCTCTCCTTGTGGAATTCTTGTCCCCTCCAGCTCTTACTATTTCCCACTTCTTACATAAAATTCCATTCACTCTGCCCATCAGTTGGCCATCAGGCTCAGCATCTGCTTTGACAGTCTATACTGCAGAGGCTTTCAGAGGCCCTCTGTGGCAGGTTCCAAGGTTGTTTCCTGTCTTCTTCTGGCTTTCAGAGGCCCTCAGTAGCAGGTTCCTAGGTTGTTTCCTGTTTTCTTTTTCTTCTGATGTCCATCCTCTTTGCCTTTCAGGATGGGGATTAAACAATTTAGTTAGGGTCCTCTCTTTTTCTTAGTTTATTTAGATGTACAGATTTTAGTGGGCTTATTCTATGTTGTATGTTTATATGAGTGAATATATACCATGCCTGTCTTTTTGCTTCTGGGACAACTCACTCAGGATGATCCTTTCCAGGTCCCACCATTTACCTGCAAATTTCATGATTTCCTTATTTTTCATTGCTGAGTAATACTTCATTGTATAGATGTACCACAGTTTCTGCATCCATCCTTCAGTTGAGGGGCATCTGGGCTGTTTCCAGCTTCTGGCTATTACAAATAAAGCTGCTACAAACATGGTTGAGCAATTTTCCTTTTTGTGTACTTGAGCCTCTTTTGGGTATATGCCTAGGAGTGGTATGGCTGGATCTTGAGGAAGCGTTTAAAAAGATTTTGACAAGCACATTGCCTCCCTTTAACAAAAAATGGCAGTGGCTTCCTCACTGGAACCTATGATCTCCATGGTCAGAGGTTTTTGTCCTGGTTTACAGATATGAACTTCCTCCTTTGGAGCAAGACCAAATGGAAAACTGTTGCTTGTACCCATATGATAGCCATGCTACTATTGCACAAACACAAACATCTTGTCTGCTATTACAGCATCGGTGCACTCAATTTGTTGCCAAGCTGGACTGTTAGTAACAATATTTCAACAGCATGTATAACACTGTCTGGAATCCTGAAAGCTATCCTGTAAGGAAGGAGCTTCCAGCTAATTCCAAGATTTATTTTTGCATGTATTGCAACCAAAGTGTGGTATATCTTTAAGTGTGTCTTACTGTCTAGTTTTTGCATGCGACCAACATCAGTGGCAATAGTTTTTCTGAATTGTGGATTCTCAGATATCTCTCTTCCCAACAACTCATAGGGAGGTTTCCTACCTCTGGCATGGGGATATCATTTAGCAATCAGATGGCTCAGCCTCTAGGAATATCCTTTCCACCTGTGAAGGTTGCTGTCTGTACTTAATATTTCTGGCTGTTGTTTTAATAACCCATTTTTTTTCTTTAAGTTAACCCAGATTCAGTAGGGTTGTAAGGCAAGTAGAGGTACTGTTGTACTTGGTTGTCTTCAGCCCAGTTCTGTACATCAGTGTCTGTGATATGACTGTCTCTGTTACTGTCAATTCTCTGTGGGTGCCTATACATAACACTGAGTTGGGTGAGATTCTTGATGATGGCTTCTCCTGTTAAGTGCCATCATGGAAACACTTATAAGAGGCCTGTGGCAGTATCCACAAGGGTGATGGCATATTTGCATCCCTTACTGACTGACATAGGCGCTGCATGGTCTAGTCTACCTTACAGTCCTTACAGGGTAACATGCCCATTATAACATCCATTCCTTCAACTGAGGAATGGATACAGAAAGTATGGTACATCTACACAATGGAATACTACTCATCAATAAAAAACAAGGAAATCATGAAATTTGCAGGTAAATGGTGGGAACTGGAAAAGATCATCCTGAGTGAGCTGTCCCAGAAGCAGAAAGACACACACAGTATATACTCACTCATATAGACAAATAATATAAGATAAACCTACTGAAATCTGTACACCTGAGGAAACTAATCAAGAGGGAGGACTCTGGCTAAAATGTTCAATCCACATCCAGAAAGTAAAAGAGGATGGACATCAGAAGGAGAAAACGGAACAAATTAGGAGCCTGCCACAGAGGGCCTCTGAAAGGCTCTGCCCTGCAGACTATCAAAGCAGATGCTGAGACT